TGGAGGCATCTTTCCCTCACCCATGCCACCCCATGGCAGACAGCGGGCGGCTTCTGTTTTTCACGTTCTTCTTCCTCCATTTTTATTATTTGTACATTTCATCTTTTTATAGTGTTCCAGATTTCCTGGTTGTTTTGTGCCTGGGTTTTTTAGATTTAATGCTCTTGGTGACTGAGGTGATTTCTTCTACTTTGTCTTTAGCACCTGAGAATCTCTATTCCTCTTCCATCTCTTGCATTCTGTTGGTGAGGTTTACCTCTGAGGTTTTTGTTTCACTTCTTAAATTTTTCATTTCCAATTTTATTTTGGTTTTCTTTAGTGATTCTGTTTTTTTTTTTTTAGAAAATTCTATCTTGTGTCTTGAATTGCTTTCATTATTTCATTCAACTGTTTGCTTTTGTTTTCACAGTCTTCATTAAGGGATTTATTCATACCCTCTTTAAGTTTCTTAAACAGGCACAACTGCGTTTTGAAGTCCTTGTCTTGTGCGTCAGCTATATTGCATTTTTCAAGGCCTATTGCAACAGGATAACTGGCTCCTAGTAGAAACACATTGTTTCAACTGTTCATGCTTAGCTTGGGATGTAGGCACCTGGAGTTACAATGTTTGAGTTGTTTCTCGGTGTCCTTATCGGGACTGTTTGTGTGGCTGCCCTTTCTTTGGTTGTCATCTCTGGATCCTGGGCAAATGTAGTGGCTGTGGTGACCCTGGCAGAGAGTTCTCTGTATGTAAGCAGGTGACAAGAATGGGGATAGATGACTAGGAGGAAAGGCTAAGTGTGGTCTTCAAGCTCCCTAATGCTGTGTGTGACTTTAATAGAGCCCCTCATGTTGTGGTAAACCCAACCATACAATTATTTTTGTTGCTTTTTCGTAGCTGTAATTTGCTAATGTTATGAATCGTAATGTGTGATATGCAGGATATCTGATATGTAAGCCCTATGAAAGGGTTGTTTGACCCCCATAGGGGTCATGTCCCAAAGGTTGAGACTTGAACTAGAAGAACAGGGTCTGTACCAAGAGATGGAGTCCTCCAGAAATCAAGATGTGTATGTGGGCAGGAGTGGGGGAGTGAAGGCCTGGTCCCTGCAAGCAAGTTGCTACATGACTAAGAGTAAATTTGGAGAGATTGTCATGGGGGATAGGAAGGATTGTGAGAATCACATATCTGAGTCCCAGCACAGAGCGGACACTGGGCATTCTTGGTAGAAAGTGTCCTGGGGATGGCATCTAACACAGAGGAATGGAAATGGGCTATAAGAGAAGACTGAGGTGAGATGAGAAAGCTAAGCCTGCTCTGAGCAGCACTGTAGTCAAACCCAGATCCACTTGGCCCGGATTCATGGTTCAGAGACTTAATGAGTAATCTACATTTCTTTTTTTTTTAAGATTTTTTTCTTTCATTATGTATATACTATTCTGCTTCCATGTATATCTGAACACCAGAAGAAGGCATCACAACTCATAACAGATGGTTGTGAACCACCATGTGGTTGCTGGGAATTGAACTCAGGACCTCTGGAAGATCTCTTAAACTCTGGAAGTGCTCTTAACCTCTGAGCCATCTCTCCAGCCCCGAAATCCACATTTCTTAAAGCATAATCCATAGCCTTAGATGGTATTTATTTGTTTACTTAGAAAACCTGGTAAAGTGTTTAAAGAGTTTTTTCCCAAAATGATTTGCCTTGGTTCAGCAAGGAGCCCTAAATAATTGAAATTATGGCTGTTTCTTAGTATTTCACAGAATTGTAAGAATTGACCATACACAATTCTATAAAGAAACAAGGAAGTATTTTAGTCCATTTTTATACAATTTTTAAAGTGAAGTCATCAGGCATTTGTCTTTCTTAAGATGATCCATGTTTCCTGTGTAATTTAATGTTAAGTCTGTAATACTGTGTTTATTGCTGCACATTGAACTATTTCATAGTGCTGGAAACCAGTCATTTTAACTGAAAAGATTTCCTTCATTGCTTATTTTCTGTAATATATTTGAGTACCTATTAGTACATATATGTATAGAGGATATTTTCTAAAGCGCTAGGACTATCTTTTTATGCAGCCAGGTCATAGGCAAGCAACATTCAGAATGTCACATTGAGTGCTTTTTTTTTGCCTAGTTATTTCTTCTATGTAAATTTTATGCTTTATAGATTATTGATGTTTCTTTGGAGTAAAAATGTTTTTGTGTAATTCTTGGTTTCAGAAGTGGCTGGGAGATCGAGGAACACTCTGCGTACAGCACTCACTACTGTTCCCAGGACCAGGTGACTGACGAGGAAGAGGAAGATGCGGTTTCTCCCATGGACCTGAAGGAGTCCTTAAAGGTAAGCACACATCATTCATCCTGTATACCTAACTCAAACATGCTTTCTGGAAATTATGACTTCTGACAATAGAAATCATGTTGATCTTTGTCTACCTGCATTCTACTGATACACCTCTGCTATGATAGTACTATAAAATGTCTTGGTTAAAATGGTGTGATGCTATGAATCAGTTTTTATGTTAAATACATTTGTATTTGCCTGTAGGAGGTGGGAAATGTAGGGCCTGACCTGCTCACCTTTATGACTTCACTGCATATTTCAGAGTTTCAATAATGCAACCATAGTGACACATTTCTTGGTCAGTGGTTTCATTTAAAACTGCTTGCAATATGTATTGGCCACTGCTTAGGGATAGGGTAAAGCATCAGTAATGTGTAGAGGCACCTTTATCTGAAGTGACAGTACTACCTTATCCATTCCTGAAAGTAGGTATTTTGTGGGGAGCAAATACTAGTTACTTTTCTGGCTGTATTTTTAAATGTACCTTGTTTATCATAATGTTGGTGGGTCTGGGAGAGTTAGAATTATAAGGGCATGCCTATTTCAGGTTAAATAGTTATCTCAAAGCACACAGATTTTCCTACTAAATTTAACCATATGAAAATTAAGTTGGTTATTTAAAGGATTTGCATATTTCTGAATAAACAATTCTAATGAAGTTAAGTTTACTAATGTCCACAGGGTTTCACTGACATTAGAGCCTCTAGTCTCAGATGAACAAAGAGTGTTAGGCTTCATCATTCCTGATTTTAATTTATGATAGAGCATCAGGGAATTTGAACTCATCTATGCTTTGTTGATGATATCTGCTAGACTTTGTTAGTGATTGCTTTATCTGTACTATTTTAAAATGTATTATGTACTATAATAGCCACAAACATAATTCTTAGATCAGTTAATTTTAACATCTACCAGAACATTTAGAATAATGACATCACAACTTAGAAAATTGGTGCTGGCTGGGCATTGGTGGCACACACCTTTAATCCCAGCACTCAGGAGGCAGAGACAGGTGGATCTCTGTGAATTCGAGGCCAGCCTGGTCTGCAGAGAAAGTTCCAGGACAGTCTCCAAAGCTACACAGAGAAACCCTGTCTCAAATAACAAAAAAAAAAAAAAGAAAAGAAAAAGAAAAGGAAAAAATGGTGCTGGAGAGAGAGCTTAGAGGTAAAGAGTACTTGCTGTTCCGGGGTGGAGACCTAGCCCTCATAGCTAGGTGATGCCAGCTCTAGGGGATCCAGTGCACATACATATATAGAAAGATATGCCTACACATAAATAAAAATAAATCTTTATAAGGGAGACTTGGAAAATTGGGAAGATTTAAATACATGTCTAAATGTTAAGTAAAAAATTAAAACTTATGCTAAATGCTTTAAAATGTAGTCAATATTTCCTAAGTGAAAAGAATGCCTTCCTATTTGTTTGCTTTCAATATGAGTGATAAAATGTATATGGATTTACAAAGCAAGCATTATCTTCGAGGATTATGGTAATTTAAGACATTTTAAATGGGGCTTATAAGTAAATTGAAAACATACTAGCTTCTTTATCATTAAGACACACGATTAAGGATACATTTTTTTTTTTGAGACAGGGTTTCTCTGTATTGTTTTGGAGGCTATCCTAGAACTCACTCTGTAGACCAGGCTGGCCTCGAACTCACAGAGATCCACCTGCCTCTGCCTCCCGAGTACTGGGATTAAAGGCGTGTGACACCAACTTCTGGCCTTGTTTTTTCGTTTTTTGTTTTTGTTGTTGTTGCTGTTTTTTGTTTTTGTTTTTTTCAAGACAGGGTTTCTCTGTAAAGACAAATTTTAAAATATATTTTTCAAAATTTCAAGCAAGTTATCAGTTCAGTTTTACATTGTATTTTATTCCTTTTTAAACATTATTTTCTTTCAATTTCAAAAAATTGTTTCCTTAAGCTATGTGTAGTGCGTGTCTGAAATCAGTGAGAATCTAGCCAGTATGAAGTTGTAGGCTCCAGATATCTCTGTCAGTGGAGTCTTGATGGAAACTGTGAGAGTTCTGATTCTCGGTGTCTGGACCCTTGTTCAAAATGGATGAAATATGAAACGGTCTTTCAATGTTAGCATGTAGCTTAGGCAGAATTACTCAAGATACTTTAACCTTTGAGTGAAGTTAAAGGAAATTCTGGGGGCCAGATAATGGAGCAAATGTATTCTTGGTGTGCGCAGACACAGGAAGGGTGTCAGGGAATAACAGTCAATAGTCATCTGCATTCAGTGCGCCGTAATCTCAAAGCGTACATTTATAAACAAGTGTGGGGCTTGGTGCTCTAGTGGAAAGGTAACCATGTTCTGTGACACTGTGACCTCATTTATCACTCTCAGACTGAGAACCTCTAAAAAGGCAGAAGGTTTTCTTTCAGTCTCTGTCACTGCCTTGAGGTTAAGGTCTAAGGAGAGAAGAAGCAAGTGCCCACCTCAGAAGAGGCATTTCATGCCATGTCAGGGTGTGTCAGAGAACAGTGTTGGAGAGGAAGCCAAGCTCTGTGTTGCTTTGCAGTGCCTAGCCATATACGGCCGTTCACATTTAAGTAAATAATAAGCACATGAAGATTTCACTAACTCACTTTGGATATTTTTTAAATTGAATCGTGTTGTGTAGCCCAGGCTGGCCTTGACCTGGCCTTGACTTCCTGAATGCTGGCATTACAGGCATATCTGTTATACCTGGCTCCGTTCCTCATTTTAACCAGAACCATCTCAAGTGCAAGGGTACAAGCAGGCAGAGGATGTTTCTGTCATCATCAGAAGTCCCAATGGATAGCAATGGCAGGGACTCATGGGTACCTCGGTGGTGCTAACCACATGGGGGTTGTTTGGTTAAGGCCTCTTAATTCTTGAGGATCTCAACTATATTTGTGATATATAAAATAATTAACAGAATGCTAAATTTAAACCAAATGACAGAATAAAGTTTGTTTATTGAATTTATTTAGTTAAGTGATTCTTAACTAAAAGGAGTATGCAGAAAGATGCATATGCACAGACTGAGGGACTGCTCAGGACAGTGCGACCACATACTGTGCCAGACTTACCACACACTGTGCCAGACTTGATACACTGGTGACCCTCAGGTGCATAGCCGGAAAAGAGCAGAGAGCCAGGTGCAGTGGTGCACACCTGTAACCCCAGCACGCAGAGGACTAACAGGGGGATCTCTCTGTGTTCGAGGGTAGCCTGGGCTACATAGTGATTTTCAGGCCAACCTGGGTTACATTTAGACCCTGCCTCAGAAAAACAGAAACAAACAAACAAAAGCTACTACTTTGGAGAAGAGAAATTCAGACAGTGGGCTGTACACATGCACATTTATGTTGGTATAGAGCAACCCTGGACAGAAGAGGAATTAGCAGTTGCTACTTTTGGATAAGAAACAGGGCAGACAGGCTCTAGAGATGACAGTATGTGTATGAGGGAGAATTATTCTTCTTTCCAGATAATTTTAGTTTTTATTTCTCTGTGAATATCTATTATAACATAAAACTTTAAGACAATTGAAGGGCTAGACTTGTCACCAGGCACCAGGAAAATAAAAATGTGCCATGACTTCTTCATGCCAGGGAAGATAGAGCCTGGCTGGAGTTAAGCTTGCAAGTAACCACTGGGTACCTTCTCCATGGGCTTAATTTCTGCAAAATTTAAGATGTTAGGTTTCTAAGGATTAAAACTTTTTGAACCTTTTGTGACCCCTTCACTTGACAAGACTGAGACCTTGCCCATCACTTTATAAATCTCTCTGGTCCTGTCTCTGGCTGTTGGTGCTCACAACAGCAGTATTGTTAGAAGTACTGCCAATTTCCTGTTCTCCAGTGCATGGGAACAGAGCCATCCAGTCCGTGCCCTCCCTGGATTGTCTTCTTGCCCTATGGGAACAGAGCTGTACAGTCCATACTCTTTTCTCCCTGAGTTGGCTTCATTCCCTGTAGTGTGTGTATTAGAAGTTGCTTTTTGTTACTAAATTCTAAGTACTGTGCTTCAGTTTTTAATCCCATGTGGACTCCAGAAAATGTCTTGGATATAGCTCCTTCTACCCACTCCACTATTCTCTTGCTGCTCACTCCCTTGAATCAGTGTTAAGTGACTCTCCTAGTCAGGACAAGGTAGATGAATGTCATCTTGAGTCAGTGGAAGTGATAGCTAGAGAGTGTGTGGACAGGAGTTGGACTGGCAGAGGCATATTTTAGTGGGCTTCTCACTGTTAGAGCTGTCTGGTGCACTGGGCCTCTGTGCTCATGGCTGCCACCCTTGATATGTAGGTACTCTGCCCATATAACTTGGATAAAATCAAAAATATTGTCAGATGTTAATATTACAATAATGTTTATAGTGGGACATCACTTACATATTGAACAAATCAAATTTAAAACTCCACTCTCCCTGGCTAAGGTTAAGGGTGTAGAAGTCAATAATGAGGTGCCATGCCAGATATCACAAAGTCTTCACAAGCACTACTTTTGAGACATGGATGGCCCAGGCTGGGCAAGAATCCATGATACTGTGGCCTCAGCTTTTCCTCAGTACCAGGATTGACAGGTGTGTGGTTACTGCCAACCCCAAAAGAGTTTTTATTTTGTTTTGTTTGTTTGTTTTTGTTTTTTGGCTTTTTATAATTATTAATGGGGATGATAGCAAATTAGAGAATGTACTTTATTGTAATGAAAATTTCTGTCCTAGGTCACGATGCCCTGAGCAAATTGAGAGCATGGGAAGAGGGGGGAGGGAGCTATGAGAATGAGAAGGGAAGAAGAGGAAGGATTCAGAGGTCATGAGGGAGCAGAAAGGTTGAGTCAGGGTAAGAATAGAAGAAAGGGTTTGTGATAGGTAGGGTTTTAGTTGGGGGGGGGTGTTAGGGGAGGACGGGAGGGAGAAGGGAACTGGGATTGTCATGTAAATCAATCTTGTTTCTAATTCAAATAAAAAATGATAAAAAAAGAAAATTTCTGTCCTCTTTTAGTGTCACTCAAGAGTTATGTTAATACTGGTGTTCATGAACTCTTCTTTAGCTTACTTTTATGTCCCTTTTAAACCACTAAGCCAAGAAGCATTTTTTAAAAAGCTTTGACATAAATATTCTATGTGAGGAGGCATGTGACTCCAGTACTTCAGATGGTACTGTGGAGGGTGGGGTTGCCTGGTTATAACCCAGGAGCTGTGCTGCACTGTGCATCAGATCAGTAGTCTGCAGATGGAGCCAGTGCTTCCGTAGCCAACTTGCACCGTGGGAAGGAAATGAGTAAGCAGTGGCATTGACTTGGCCATGATCAGGAATAATAATGTGCATAGTGTGAGAATGGTCTTCTGTTAATAAGTCAAGAGTGATGCATTTAGTTGCAGTGAGTGTTTCTGGAGGGACTTTCCACCTTTCAACCTGGATTCACAGGCAGTGTCTGAGAAAAGGTGCAGCAAACCTCTATAGGGTTTTAAATTACACAGTATAAGCATTCCTCTCGATAAATAAATAAACATGTGGTATATTTAGATGTCATTAGGAGTCTCAAAACAGAAGGGATGATACACATTTAAGAAAGAGCATTGTCTGTAACTAATGTGGTCCCATTAATAACTCTGCTGTGGTTGGGTTGAGCTTTATAAGAGCTAAAATATTTATAAAGTAAAATAGGAGAAAAGAGTGCTTACCTGTGTCACCTTGGCACACAGCTAAACTAGTTTAATTTTGAATAAGCAAATGTTTTGTGATGGACCAGTTGAGGTTAGGAGTGCAGAGTAAGGAAGCTGAGTCCATTGCTCTTCCCACAGTAGTGATTCTAATGCTTGCAAAGTCCTGGTTCACAGAGTCAACATTTTCAGTTATTACAGTCCAGCAGTTCCAGTATGATTTTCTTCCTTATTCTTTTTGCTATGTATAGCCAGCATAAAATTGACAGTGATTGTACTTTGTTCTTTGGATCTTCTCTAGGCTGGGACGCAAGTTAGATGATGGATTTTTATATTCACATTTTACTTCTAGGGATCTTACTGTGAAGAAATTCAAAATTTCAAGGCAGACTGCTCTCCATAATTAACTTATTCAT